AGCCAGGATCAAGAAACGAAGACAACGACACACACACACACATACACACCCCCCATACCCTCCTTACCCCTCCCCTCCCGCGCTAGCCTAAGGGCCACCTTAGCAAAGCGCATCCCAGGCTGCATAGCCGCACTACCCTACCCAACCATACCACACATAAACATGACACTACCCCCGGGGTTTACACAGACGAGCCGGCGAAGCAAGAAGAGCGCCAGAAGAAAGGGCCCTAGCCGGCGGGGCCCAGCCAGGACAAAAGGAGGTCCCACAAAGCGCCTACACCGGCCGCATTTGCGGTCGGGGTAGACGACGGATGGGGCCCACCTACGAAGGCTGTCCAGGCCTACACGAGATGAGGCAGGATAAAGAGGGATAATCTCCCTCGATCCCAAATCATTGAGGCCAATTTCTAGCCATGGAATAATGGCGCCGCGACCTTGTGCGTACAGGGAGTCTTAAAGCAAAATGAATTGGCTATCCTTAGTGTCTATTTAATTTTAATTAGTTTCATATTTGGGGTTAATTTAGGAGTTAATTTTGTAATCATACTTCTGACAAAGATATATTATCATTAATGTATACACTCAGAACTCAGATATGTTTCATAGTGAAATTAGTGCAGGTACAAAGTACACCACAAGAATGCAGCATTGAAATAACTACCAAACAATTCGTCGCATTATACAAGATAAAAAATGTTGCATATTATTAAGTCGTCTAAAATTATTTCTAAAATTAATGTATGTAATGTAAGACACATTACAACTCAAGTGGAATTTAAAGAAGTGGCAATAAAAGTTCCATGGGGTCATATATCTGGAAAATGGTGGGGCCCTACTGACGTGCGGCCGGTGTTGACTATACATGGATGGCAGGTATGAAAAATAAAAATGTTTTTATTAGAATGAGTTTTATGAACGTTACAAAAATGATGAGAATGTGAGCTTAAGATTTCTGCTCTCAACAATTAATTGGTTTTTGTTGATTAAAAAGGTCTGTTATTACTTTTTGTGGCGGTGCATTTTCCTGTTTCTTGTAATAATGCATCAGATATTTACGTGTTTTAAGATAATTATATTACTATATTGAAGCAGGCACATTTATATTTAGTTGCTTCTTATCCACTTTTTTTTTAGGATAACTGTGGAACTTTTGATAGGCTAATACCTCATCTTAATAAGAACATAGGATATTTATGCATTGATCTTCCTGGTCATGGATATTCTTCACATATACCACCTGGCATGTTTTATCATGTAACAAATTATTTGATTTTAGTCCATTATTTGGTCAAATATTTTCAGTGGCCTAAAGTTTCCTTAATGGGGCATTCTTTAGGAGGTATTACATCATATTTATATAGCATGGTATATCCCCAAAATGTAGATTTCGTAATTTGTATTGATGCAGCAAAACCAATGATTAGAAAAAATCAAAATGTTCATATGGCAAATACTATTGAGAAATTCTTAATTTATGAAAAGTTTACAGATAGTGATATGGAGCCACCTAGTTATACTATAGAAGAAATTAAAAAAAAAATTAGCACACCAAATAACGATTCTGTGATGTTGGAATATGCTCATCACTTGATAGAACGAAATGTTGCTCCTTCAAAACATCACCCAGGAAAATATTATTTCACTAGAGATCCTAGATTAAAAACTGGCGGACTTTTAAATTTTTCGCAAGATGAATTGACTGAATATGCACAATATATGGTGAGTCCAATATTTATTGCAAAAGCAAAGGGAGGCTCATACTATGAAGCTAAAGAAAACTTTTATGAAGTTTTAGATGTGCTTAAAAGAAGTAGTGTTGATTGTGATTTCCATTATGTTGAAGGATCTCATCATGTTCACCTAAACAATCCAGAAGTAGTAGGTCCTTTAATTAAACAATTTATACAAAGACACAATATAGAAGATCGTAGTATAGGTGGTATCAAAGATGAAATTGTTAACAATATTAAGACGTCTAATATGAAGTTGTAGTGTCAGTAATTCTAGATATTAATAACAATGACAAGTTATTGTTATTTATTGATCACATTTCGGTAACCATTTTTGACGAGTTTTTCCAAATGCGCATTTATCTCACTTCTATTATTTGTTGATATTTACTGATATTTATATTTTCTATAGATCTTTTATATTTAAACTTAAATATTTTGTAATTCAACTTTACCCCAGTGGGAAGAAAAACATAACAGTTGATGTTATGTTAACTCTAGTTTTATAATTCAGTCCAAGTAATGCAAGTAGTAACGCTTACTAAGCAAATATATAAAACGGTGAAAAAAATAGCATAATGCGTTGCTAGGGGTGGAGGGCATGGCCCCCCTAGAGGGCTCGGGCCCTCCCCAGAAAAAAGACAATACAATAATATATTTTTGGTAGGATTAGCAAGCTGACCAGCTAGCCCCTCAAAGCCCACCCCATGATTACATTTTACACATTGTTATTTCCAAGTATGTTCAGCAGACAATTGCTCATCGACGTGATTTCTGAATACCAATGCTAATGTAAAACTTACTTTCGTTTGGAATATACATTATAAACAATAAACAATCATGAGCAGCATTAACCCGGAATTGATAAATTTAAAATTTTCAAATATCTTTTAAATCTAAAAAGACATATAAAAGGGACACCATATAAAGAAATGTTTTAAGTATTTTGCAACATTGCAGAAAACAGAAATGCCTCAAATAATTTTTGGCAGTAGGTATAATAAATATTTCACTGGGACATTGTAGCAAATAAAAAAATGTTATGCAATATTTTCAATTCAACAAGTTATGGGGAACACTTGAAAGAACTAGTTTTTATTGTCTTTGTTTAATTTTAAGTACAAGAAACAAAGAACAATAAAAAATTTGTTAGTATAATGTGTACTATAAGCATCATTAGATACATTATTTATTTGCGCTTCAATTTATTATGTCATATGCAAAATGAGTACATATCACAAAAAAAGCAAAAAGACAAGGAATATCGAAATTTGTAAAAGTGAGCTAAATTTATTTTTTTAGTTATTATTTGAAGTTATTGACGGATGTAAAGACATTCAAACATGAGTGAAAGGTGTTTCTATGAATTATTGTGATTAATTAATCAGTCCTTAACCCTCAACCAAAAAGAAGTGAAATTTTACCTTATTATTAGTTAACTTCTAAAAAATAGTCAGAATGTGTAGTTTTACATTGTAAATATTAGCAGAAGAATCATTATTTTAATTAAAATTAGGGCTTATTTGATAAATAAATAAAAATTGAAAATATTAATCAAATTAAATAGATATATCTATTAAAGTAGTAGGTATTTAACTACTTTATGAAAATTACCCTTATTCAAAGATAAGCCCATTTGTGAAACAAGGTAGTGAGTATTTATTAATTTATAAACAGCTTCACTAGGGGCTGCCTAGCTGGGTGTCTTGGCCGGTGGATTTCGATCTGCCGAGTTAAGCATCACGGACGCAGGCTAGAACTTGAATGGCCTGGGTTGTTCAACACCTTCCACGTGCGTGTGGTCCCCGATAAAAATGGTAATGAGAATAGAGCAATAAATCTCTGTAACTTAAGACCATGCTATCATACATTAAAAACTGTACGAGACTTTGCCACCAAGCCACCCTTGTAGTAATAGGATGGTTTGATAAAAATACTCTAGTAAGGAAGGAGGTTGTACAAGGGGCCTAATGAGGCCTAAATGCCACGGTGGAAAAGCAATTCCACCACCCTCCGACATACAGACAGGATAGGACAGGACAGCTTCATTACCATATCACATCATAAATAAGAACTTTTTTCTATAAACACGAGCACACAACTATAATCACTACATGCAAAAACTAAAATCGTTTAAAATTGCTAAACTGACCATCTTGTACTACTTTCACAATTAGCAACAGAAATTGGCCGTCTTGTACTTCTTCCACTATCCACTACAAGATAGTATAATTTTTGTAATTTGATTTATTGTTGTTTGTTCCATTAAATAAAAGAAATCATACTTGCAATGTATAAATTTAATTGATTGCAAATTAGATGCCTGTTATTGTTATATTTGGCAGTGATAATGCCTTTGATCTAAAAAATTACCCATACAAAAACTTATACTTATATACATACTTATATAGAGAATATTATTGATATTATAAATGAATTGCTTATTACTTATTTTGTTTATTTAAAATATATGCCAATAAAAATTTATTAAAAGCTCTTGTTTCAATTTTTGTTTCATTTAATTAAGAATCATATAAACACATTCATCTGCAATGAAATAAGAAAAAAGACAAAGTTCATATAAATATAAGTTTTCAACTGCTTCTTTTTTATATACAGGGTGATAAAAATGTTTTTTTATTTCATTTTTATTTTACATCTAGTCTTATTCATAAGACAAACAGTTAGGTCAACTAAGTTTTTTTTTTACTTAAAACTAACCCAGAAACCATACAAAATGTGACCATGTTTTAAGTTGAGGTCTATACTATTTAAATTACACTAAGTAAAAAAGAATACAAACAGGAATTGTGTGGGGGTACTAGAGAGGTCATTATGCAAAAACAGTTAATGGTAATAGAGGTTGTTACTTGAAGGGTGACCATCCGGGGAAGGCTCTGTATGTTGGTGTATTCACAGAAGCTATACAAATTTAGGCAAGGTTTGTATACGAAGACATACCATCCCTCTGAAAGGATGTAAAACCGTTGGTCCCTTGTCTCAGCAATGTTAGGTAAGTAAAAGATCCCCCACGACAAAGTGGGGAGTTCGGCAAAATTTCCAAGTTGGGTGTTGTGCGTCTTATGGCGTCGGTGTTTAATAAAAATACTAAGGTAAGTTAATTTTTGATCAGATATTCTTGTTGGCGAAATCTCTATATCTTAAAAAAAAATTTTAGTATACATCTCGTTAGCTTTCGTAGAAAAAATGTATATACAGGGTGATGGAAGAGGAATTTCCAATAGTCGGAGGTGTTCTGGGAGCAAAAGGAACAAATAGAATAATAAACATTATCAAATATCAAGAGTTCTGAGAGGGTCAATGAAAATATTTCTCCCCATTTTAATAATTGTAATGTGTCAAAGGAGAAAAAAGCTTATAACTGTATGTATTATAAATTATAACGGTGATGGCTGGTGAAAATTAAAGTGGTTATGTTTTGATAGTAAAGAATCGTTTTTTAGGGGATGAATTCTAGACCCACATAGAGAACTTTCATGACAAAAAAATGTCACAAAAAATTACAAAATAAAAATTACAATAGTGGTGGCCAACTTTGACATCTCAAAACAGGTTACACATATTTACAAAATATTTTTCTTTCACGATCAACAGATATACCGGCTGTCTCAGAATATGTGAGTAATCTCTCGGATTTATACGGGGTATGTTAAAATATCATTAACAAGTTCCTATAAAAATTTTTCCTAGAGGCCCCCATACGGAGATACAGGCCCCTAAATATTGATTTTTTTTTAAATAACTTTTCAAATACTTTGTGTATTGACCCATGAAAACAATTTGGCTTATTTAGTTTGCAAGGGATGGACTAGCTGTAGCACAATAATGTCAATTTCCTTTACACCCTTTACGATAAATGCACAAAAAAATTTAGATAGCTACCTTGAATTAAAAAAAGGCACTCTTGGTTGATATCGATAAAATGCTTTTGAGAAAAAACTATTTTTGTGCAATTTATTTATTTATTTGATACACCATTCAACAGAATATATCCAATTACTCAATAGGTGGAAACACAATATGTAATATAAAAAAGAAAAATAACAGTAACAATTGGTAAAAGAATTCGAAGAAAAAGAAACTATAAATAAATTCAAAACTAATAAAACTTAGTAAAGTATTTTACATTAACTAAAATAACAGTAGTGTAAAACAGTTGACTGTTTAAAACAGTCATATGCTTTAGTAAAATAGAATAAAATACGATAAACATTATACATACAGGCTGTTACAAATTTGCTTCTCACTACAGGGATCTCGAAAACGGTAAGAGATACAAACTAGCTTAAATGGGGGCAAAGTTGCGTAATCAGGGGACCAATATTAGCCTCTAAGAAATCAAGGTTAAAATGATTAGTTTTCGGAATATTTGAAAAAAAAAAACAAAATTTTGGAAATCCGTTTTTGTTTCATTTCAACCTTGTTTGAGGTGACATTGAAAAAAGAACACTTTCTCATGACCACTTTTTGCCCTCTATCGAATGGCATAATCAATTTTTATATGTAACGTTTCGTCTCTCCAGGACCATCAACAACTTCATTTTTTTAAATAGGCCCTAGAAATTTTATTACATTTTTTGCAAACCTTCATGAACCCCAATACTGTACTGTCTCAGCCCTAAGCAGATTCAGACATTTTATCTTGAAAAATTCATCTTCAGTATAGTTTTTTGGATAACTCGTCAATATGTTGCTTCCAAGACATTTGGCGATCAATGTTCACTCCGAGAAATTTCACTTGAGATGCACAATTGGTGAACTCATCATGCACATAACGCAAAGTAAACAAAATAGATTGAGTTTTGTTTTGATTGAGATACATTTTATTTGCCAAAAACCACTGCTTAACGTTATTCTGTGTTGTTTGAACATTATTACGAAGGACACTGGCCTGACCTGCACTATTTAGGATCGTAGTATCATCCGCAAAGAGGATAAACTTGGAAATGCTATCACTATTTGGTAGATCGTTTATATAAATGAGAAACAGTACAGGCCCAAGGACAGATCCTTGTGGGACTCCGTGATTCATAATAATAATATCTCTACTCCTCATTCTAACTACGAGAATTAGCCCAGAAGTCGGAGACTTGTGCGGGAGAGGAGGCGGCATATTATTATTAAGCAGGCCGCATTTGCACACAGGAACGACTTATGTTGGTAGGCCCTAACCACCATTAAGTGCAGGAATGAGGGAAACCTGGAAAACCTCATTAATTAGGGGGGTGGTCAAATGCCAACCGGTGTCAATCTCTCACATCGACTCAAGCCAACATTCTTCCACCCTACCCTATACCTGCACAGAGGGTGCCAATCCTCCATACAAGCATAGCTAATCTACGGTCTACTGGCCGCGGGATTCGAAAACCGGGCAGATAGCACACATCGATTCAAGTACCGACGCCTTAAACCGTGCGGCTATCGACCTATTATGGTTAAGCATGAAGATTTACTTCCATTAAAAGAGACAAATTGAGATATATCACTCAGGTATGACTTAACTAAGGGAGATACTATTTGGATCAAAGTTATAGCGCGAAAGTTTTTGAATTAAAATGTTGTGGCTCACATAATCAAAAGCCTTAGTAAGGTCATATAAAGTACCATTATAGTCCAGTCGGCAGAGCCCGAAAAGTGACATTTCCTTGATAACTCGGAAATAACTACACAAGAATACTTTAAATGATGAGTACAATAAAGGCTAATTTGCTGACAAAGTATTTTATCAGGAAAAAAAATGATTAACAATTTAATCGTGAAAAAAAATTTTTTTAGTAGTTTTCTTTAAATAACTCAGCGGGATGACTTTGTACGAAAAAATGCTTAGGACATGATTGTGTTAGTAATAAAAATAGCTACAAAATGGCGGTGGTCCCATTACGAAATTTGCAATAACAAAGCCGTGAGATTGACAAACGGTATAAAACGTCATTTTCTTAAAGTTGCTGTAAAAATGTCAATTATAAACAAAAAGTGATAAAACTTTCGAAAACTATAGTTCAATATATATACAATAATGACGCTAAAACCGAAAATCAGGAGAGCAAAACTTTCTGTTCTATAAGGTTTTATACATCTATCGGCATCTGAAACTCGAAACTTTGCCAAATTTGTTCGAAGTTTTGCTGACACTTAAAATTTGGTACACACATAGTGTAAATATGCAGAAACCAAATGCAATTTGCAAAATTCAATTATCTTCATTTTTGCAGCTTTGGTAAAGTTTTATACGTTCTTTTTTTTAATTTTTGGAAATATATATAAGTATATAAAATATTCCATCACGATAGATTAACCAGCATAATTACCTACAATTAAAAAAAAATTAATTTTCATCGTAGATCCTAAACTACTTAACATTTTCCGCCTGTTAGCCGTAGTCGTACATTATTCAACATATCAACAAAAACAAAATCGTACGTGTGGGGTAAACCTTTAACTTTTCATTTTCGAGCGCGAGCTCCCCTCTTCGGCGCTTGTATACTATTAGAAACCTGCAACAGTAAATTTAAACAATTGTTTATTTAAAGTTAAAGGTTTACCCCACACGTACGTTTTTGTTTTATGTTGATATGTTGATTAATGTACAAGTAGGACTAACAGGCGCAAAATGTTAAGTAGCTTAGGATCTAAACGATGAAAATATATATTTTTTTAAATTGTAGGTAATTGTGCTGGCTAATCTACCGTAATGGAATATTTTATAAATATACATAAATATACGTCCAAAAATTAAAAAAAA